CGTTGGCGTCGGACGAAGTAATGTCGTTTGCTGTTAGCCCAGTATGTCATAATGTAGTGCGCGTGTCACCTTTAGCACCTCTAGCATTTCACTGTAAAGTATCTTTTTCATTGTTAGTCGCATGGAAGAGATGAAATCGTAGCAATATTGCGCTGTTGTAGGTAAAACCGTCTGATTAAACTGTTCGCATGAGAATGACTAACCATTTATTAGCACATTGTGTCAAGACTTGCGCTTTTTGTTGCTGAAAACTGTGTAAACTTGCGATCACTATCTCAAAAGACATTTATTGGCTTTAAGGAAGCGAAAGGGAACGTGGGTTGGGTTGTACCATGTATGATGTATATCATGCACCATGTGGGTTAGCATCAGGGTGATTTACTCCAGATCCATGCAACAGATGCCGGTCTTGAGTCAGTCGCTCGGCTGACGCACATCAGCGCGCTTTACCCTGCAGTGACTCCGGCTGCACATATGCACGCGTCATGGGGTGAGCGCGACAAACATGCCTCTGCATATCGTTGAAAACTCTAGCAATCGATGGAAAATGTGTTTAAAGTCCTACGGCATAGCGAGACCAATATGAATGTTTTACTGAATGGTGTGAAGTACACGTGCCTCATAGGCGTACGAACGTTTCAAAAAGTGTAGGGGGGGGGGGGGCGGGCGGGGTGAGAGCCAAGCTCAGGGTGTACCTCAGGACCTTTTTCTGGAAAGCGAGCCTGGTGACCGGGGAGGAGGGGGAGGGATGGAGGTTGTTATCGCTCCACCACTGTCACGTTACCAATGACGAAAAACCGGAGACGAGCGTGTTTTGTTCATATGCCGTAAACCATTCAGCTTTCTTGTGATGCAACCTTCTTCAACCAACAGCACAACTTTCTCCACCACGTGGTACAACTTACTCAGGGCGGGGCAGACTGTATCATTTGAACGGGTTTCATTGGGAGGTGCCTTGTCAAAGAACGAGTCGCGCTCTCCACAACTGTATCACTCCACATGTACCTGAATTTTATAGCTCTGCAGATATATGCATCTCAGTCCTATCTCAAGCAGTTGAAGCAGCAGGGAGCTCATAGTAAAAACTGATGCAACCTCCCCCTTCTCTTCCCAAACTGTCGGGACGGGCAGGGCAGCTTAATTTCAAATCTTCATTGGCCCTCCGTATGCAAAATTGGAGTGAATATGATAGTGGGGTCAGTCAAAGTCAAGACGCGTATGTAAATGGCTGTGTTCGCGAAAAAGCTAACATCTATTATCTGTTGATCTTGAGTAAAAGTGTATGACGCGATCAGTGGAGTCCATCGGGTGGGCCTGTGGTAGAGGCGGGCGTCGGGACAGATGGCCGTCGGTCAAAAGTGGCTGCGATTATGATTTGAGCACTGTCACGTTATATGACAATGATCGCTTGATATCATCGTTTTATCAGTATCTCTTGGCAGACATGTGCCTGGATACCGAACAATATCTCAGGATTTCATCCCCGAGATCTCATCAACGTAGAACCCTGTGGGACCCTGGATCCGCCCCTGGGATCCATGCACAGTTCTATCCCCTAGTATATTTGAGGTCGGTTCTGTTTAACAAAAGGACTTATTTTGCCGAAAAGCCAGTAGTTTGTGAGCTTCAGTTGCTTATGTCAAGATCCAAGGCCGTCAGCAATTTCAGGCCAGGTCAGTTCAGCAACGGCGCGAGCTAGGGGAGGAGGCAGGGTCAGCGGATTCCTGGGGAAAGGAGCGGTTAACCCCTCCCATTTCAACTACGAGCAGCATTTAGCGGTGCATGGAAAGAAACGAGCTAAAAAGCACATTGGTCCGAGCTCCACAAGGATTTTGCCGCCACTATCTTCAGGTGAGCTACCCCTTCCCCGATGTGGCCTCCTCCGACGTTACGTGAAACTAAATGAGGCAAAAATCACACCCACCCCACCCTCTCCTCACCGCACTCCACTCCCACCCCTGCCTCAAAGTATCCGCCGTCATTGGGTTAGCTCAACGCAGCTGCCACGGTCCACGGTGTGACGTCGGGAATGACACGGTCGTTCAGGGATATTTTTAGGCTTTGAATACCATTTTGTCAACTCAAAGGCATGCTTTATGTTTTCGAACCGCACGAGCGTCTTAAACAGCCGAAACATACCCATCAGGACCTTCAGTCCCTTGGGTTCTCGTGGCCCGACACTTCTAGGGGAGGGGGGCATTAGTCCAAAAGCTGCCCATCTCCTTGGCTACGGTACTGGATTGAACACCGCTTCGATGGTCAAATGAATGAATGCAACTTAGTCTCCTTTATAATGTGACGTAAATATGGCGTGACAGATAACATAAAGATAACGTGATCACGAGTTGGCATATAGTTTGCGGACCTTTGAAATGGTAGATTTTGATTCCCCGCACTTTTCTCAATTCAGTAGTGTGTAAACTGGAGCCGTTTTTTACATGGCCTAGGTCAGTGGCGGATCCGGGATTTCGTCAAGGAAGGGGGGAGACGGGCCACGCTATACTGTTGGACCCACTTAAGTGTTGGGATCCGCTCCAAAGAATCGTCGGATTTCAGACATCAGATTGAAAGCCTCCCGTGTTTGCTATTTTTATACCGAAAACCACCTCCCTGCGCGCAGCCCTCGAAAGCCACATGTCGTGCAATGCACCTACATGGAGCGTGTTCGTTTTCTTTAGATCATCACGGATCCTGCCATTTTGAAGCTAAGTATTTAGAAGAAGATGCAGATAGTTAACGTTGGCTGCCAAATACTATCAAAATAAAATAAGACATTCGATCCCAAGATTGTTTGCGGCTAGCCGGTTTCCAACAGCTAGCTGGCTAGCTGTTGCGATCAGCTGATGGATAATAACAAATGCGGTCATCGAAACAAATGCGGATGCTGCTATCTCGGGCTAAGGCGTCAGGGAAAATCGTCATTGTATAGGTCTACGTTAGTTAATTCAGCCAGACCCGCATACGCACGCAGGCATAACACCACAAGTAAAAGTGCTGGCGCTCGTGAGCAGATGTGGGAGCTTTAACCTTGGTTCTTCTAGATCGTTTCAGCAGCAGAGAAAGGTTTCCCTGACCTCATGGAAAGAGCCCAAGACCAGTGCGGAGGGCCCTGGAGCGATCCAGAGTGCCCCGACTGATTAGTACGTAAGGGCCCCGGCAATATCTCGGGCCCTCCGAAAAATGAGAGACCCAAGACCAATAGCCACGGCACTCGAGCGATCGAGGGTGCCGCGACAGGTCAGCACAGATCAGTCAACAGTGTAGGGTCACCGAGCCAGCAAGAGAACCCGAGACCACTGTGGTGGGCCCCTGAACGATCGGGAGTGCCCTGGCGTGTCAGCATCTCGGGCCCCAGCCAGCGCGCAGGGCCCTCAGAGCAAATGGCGATAACCCAAAACCAGTATGGAGGGCCCCTAAGCGGTCCCGTGCCTGACAGATGAGCATATGGTGACAGCTGCGCAGGGTTCTCCGCGCAAAAGTGGGGTGTGATACAATGTGACGGGCCCCTGTGCGATCAAGAATGCCCAGGCAAGTTGATATAGAGCGCCCGACAAGAATGTAGGGTCCTCCGCAGATATGAGCAAATGGAAAGACTTTTAGACCAATGTTGAGGGTCCCTGAACATCGAGTGCTTCGGTGGGTTAACTTACATGACCTCCAGCAACAGCACAGGGCTCTTCGAGCACGTGTACAGGACCCGAGACTAATGTGAAGGACCTTGGACTACCGACAATATCCAGGTAGATTAACATGTGAGACCCACAGCAATAGCGTGTAGAGCCTTTCGGACGAATGGAAAGATTCCTTGGAGGCCCCTGATCAACCAAGAGCGCACCGGCGGGTTAGCATGTAGAGCTCCAACACTTGTAGGTCTTTCCGAGCAAATGCAAATAAGTCAAGGGCAACGTGGGAAGGCTCCCCGGCGCTCGGAGCGCCCCGGAGAGTGGACATTTAAAGGGTTCTCGGCATCACCATAGTACCTCTGGACGTCGTTATGAGAGCTTAAACTTCCCCAGACACGAGCATCTTCAATAGCGGAGAATCAGATAGTTTTGTTAGTGTATGGATTCTTTATTTTCGCTTGCCGCTGCTCTCGGTCAACTGGAGGCTCCAAGGCGTCCAATTTGGGTGTTTTGTGTGAAAACCCTGCGTCCGTTCGAGCTGCTGTGGGCCCCCTCAGAGCCAATAGGCCACTTCGAAGCCAGGGATCATGACCCCGTGCCCCGGCCCCCTCTGGACCCAACACTGGAGTAGGAGGGTAAACCTGTTCTATCAAGTGATTAATCAATGTTGGTGGGGGACAACAAAAGTTTCATGACCTGCACCTTCCTTCTATATGACCCTGTGACCTAAATGACCTGAGACTTCCAAACATAGGTGCCTATTGGGCTCAGAACAACCTCGTCTACCAGTTTGCGGAGGAAAAAAAGCAGGGTACACGGAAATTTTTAATTTGCGGGGTCCTACGCTGGTGATTTGAGGGGTACATCAGCTGCACCAACTTCCTTTTACAAAACAAGCCCGCAAAATAGCATTGAATCACGTGAAGCTACGTAATGTGGCATTTCATCTTCAGAAATGCACACTCTTACTGCTTCGTGCCTTCGCTTCAGTTCTGTAACCCATGATTGACGCGCAAGTTGTTTGACAGGAAGTAACTGGAACCGTACTAAACCTCGACATATGAAGCACGCTAGGTTGGCATTTCGAGGCCCCGTTGTTTGTCGCCGGATCGATCCACGGAGAGGCGCAGCCAGGCATTATTATATTGGTGAAAAGTGTGCATGTGTTATGAATGCTCTTTCTCCTAAATTACAACTCTACACCTTAGCATATCCACATGATGAAGTTTTATGCAAGAAGACATTTGTTCTTAAACGCACTTGGAAGGAGATTTTCGCCAACCAACTCTCGCTGCGTACTGACTCCGCCACTGCACCACGCTCGCCGTGCGGCGGACGCGGCGGCGGCGTCGCCTTCCTCGTCCGTGAGTGGTGAGCGGGAGCCCCCGTCCACCAACCAACCGTCGAGAAGCGCCTGGGCGAGCTGTCCATTCAGGAGTGAGGATTTCGTCGACCACACCAATCGGAGCTGCATTTCGGCTCTCCTGACTGGTAAGCAACTTTTGATAGGCTCATTAGCCCTTTAGCCGATATAATTTCTGGCGTCATTGGCTGCGACTGCTGTGGCGGGAAACGAAAAGCTTTGACTGCCTGCGTGCAATTGGCGAGGATTGTGTGTCGGGGAATGGGAGAAAAGGAGCGATCGAGGGATGCATACAACCCATCACCTGACGGAAAACATCTCTCTGCGTATTTGAGGTTGGGAAGTGATGGAATGCTAGATCACCAGGTGTTTCAGGCAATCTGCTCCTGCCCTGTGGTCACCACCATTGCCAAACCCCAAAACATGTTCTAAACCTGAATGCAAATTTGAATCAGGTACTTCCCTTAGATGAGCGTGATGCTTAGGGGTGGTTAAGTGACTCAAAATTGCCATTGTTCGCTTGATTTCAACAGATGCTCACAGGAAGGGTGCACAAAACATATGTTGTGCCTCCAAATTGTGAAGTGCCAACTGTGATTAGATTAAGAACATGGGAGAGAATGGGCATTGCAGTTCAGTTAGAACTGAAAGTAGCTGTATGTTAGCTGCCAACTCCCTGCAGACAGTTTTTGCTATTGGACAGGTTTGGATGTAGCATTAGATCTGGAGAGGGCTGAAGTGTCAGTATATAATGGAGAGTCTGCATTCCAAAATGGTTGCTGACTGTTAAAACCAAACAATACACCAGGCATTAACTTAATGGTTTACAGCATCTCAGGAGGGACATGGCCATATTGGATTTCCTGGACCGGCATTGTAACAAGTCTGTCAATTTGTGCCATCTTATGCAGGCTTTGGTCTTGCCATTGTTTGGCTGTTCTCCCCCTTCCAATATTAGTTTAAGCCCTAAATTTATCTTTCTGAAATATTTTAAAAAGTGACAAAAAGTATAATGGGCTCAATGCTTGTGGGCATTATTTGCTGACAGTGACTGCAATGCTGCTTGAATAAAAAACTTCAAAAAGTATATAGGGAATGCAAATACAGGTAATTCTGTATCAAAATGGGGATTCCAATTCACTGAGAAACACATTTGGAGATGCTAGGTCAGTGGACTTTTGCTGTTTGGTCTCCCAATAATTTACAAAATTTGATATTCTTGCTCTGTACCAAGCATGGTTGTGGCCACAGACATGGTTAATCACAGAGATTGGAGGGGCAAGTCATGATTTGCATGGGCAACAATCTGAGCTCACCTGTCTTATCACGCCATCATCTTTACTGTAAAGTGCTGTTTCAGTAGAGTACAAGATACAAGTAAAAACAAGTAATGATTGTTAAATGTATGACCAATGTTAGGAGATACTGTTAGGAGATTTTCCCTATCCAGGGAAAATGAGTGGCACATGGCACCCTGGTCTTGGACAGTGGTATGTGTATGTCCATGTTACTGAAAAAAGACAATATTTTAGACATTTTGTTTGTCCATGGGTGTTACTACTGTGTGGGGCTTCACAGTAGTTTAGTGACATCAAGTGAACACTTCCCTGCAGCTTTGACTTCTCACATCAGTATTTCTGAAGTTTTCACCAGAGTTTTGGTTCCTTTGTGGCAAAAGCAAGTGCATGATTGCTAAATGTTTCTATACCACAGGCATGTAAGCTACTGCATTCCATTCTCTGTTAGAGATGATTTTTGGAGTTCATTTTTGTGGCCAAAAAGTGGCTGCTTATTCATCAGTCACTGATCCACAAATAGTACATTTATCACTGGTATTGTTGCTGCATCATGTTGTCATTATGTCTGCATCTTGGGTGCTACACTCGCTCCAGGTGCTGCTTCTGCCATTGCAAGGTCGCCGCTGGCAGCGATGGATGGCGACGGGTCCGACTTCATCGCCGACAGCAAGTACATGCTGGAGGACAGCGGGGATCACGGTGGGTGGCCCACGGCGGACGCCGCCCCATCTACCGCCGTCGGCCGGACTGCGCCCGTGGTGTGCGGTGACTGAACTGTGAACAGCGTGGGCAAGTCGCGGGAAGCAGAAATATTCTGGACTGCTTAGTTAACTTGAAAACAACTTGGTGTCCTGCTCAGTGCAGGTCTGGACCATATGATGTTTAAGGCAATCAGCTTTTATGTGTTAGCTCAGAAGGTCACGTGACCGCATTGTACTCACTGACGTTTGAGGTGCTGTGTGGGTCCGGCGTTCAGTCCCCGGCACAGCGTCACCTGAGGCAGGCCTCAGCCCCGCTGGCCGGTATTGCGTGCGACTGGCGCAGCCTTCTTGCCCGTGTGTTCGTATGTCCTATCGCCCGTGCGCTCGTGTGTCCTTTCGCCCGTCTGTTCGTGCGTTCTTTCGTCCATGTGTTCATGTGTCCTTTCGCACGTCTGTTCGTGTGTCCTTTGCCCGTCTGTTCGTGCGTCTTTTCGCCCGTGTGTTCGCGGGCCGAAGCATGTCGGGCGTTGTCACGGTACCCCGGAGCTCGTGCGGACCGCACCGGCGTCCTCTGCGCACCCCTCTCACCCTGCCGTATGCGGCCGACAGACAGCGGCGACGGCGGCGCCGGCGGCTCCAAGTCTGGCGAGCCGAGCAACATTCTGCGCGAGCAGGACCGCTTCCTGCCCATCGCCAACGTGGCGCGCATCATGAAGCGCGGCATCCCGCCCAACGGCAAGGTGGGACCGGCCGTCAGGACTGGCCGGTGGCGGTCAGGGTCAGGCGGGCGCGAATCGGTTCTCAGCTGCCACTCTACTCGAGTGACAACAGCTGTGTATGACGTCGTCCGAAACGTTCTGCCTTACATTGTGGTGTTTAGCCCTGTCGGACATAGTTGTGGGACGGTTCGTGCCGGTGCCGAAGCACGGCACATATCAGGACCTTTGGTTAACTTTCAATTAAGAAATGTCATTTCGTTCCAATCCAGTTTCTCTGGCATCTAACTTCCAACTGAAGTCAAATTCAGCTGCTCTGTCATGTTCAGAAAGCTGCAGCGATTTACCGTTGCTGTTTGGACGCCCCATAGCGTAGTTTGTAGCTATGAATCTAACAAGCTGCTTCACTTGATGACACACAACCACGCCACCGGTCGGCGTGAAGTGTGATTTTATATTTAGCGCACTCGGGTTGGCCCGTCGAATGTATCCAGTGTGTGTGAGGCCGGCCTTGGTGATGGGCCCTCCGTGCACCAGCACCACCTGACGTCAGTCGGGACGTTGCACCACTGGTTTCAGATCGCCAAGGAATCGCGTGAGTGCATGCAAGAGTGCGTGTCCGAGTTCGTCAGCTTCGTGACGAGCGAGGCGAGCGACCGCTGCCACCAAGAGAAGCGCAAGACCATCAACGGCGAGGACCTGCTGTTTGCCATGTCCGTGCTGGGCTTCGACAGCTACGTGGAGCCGCTCAAGCTTTACCTGCAGAAGTACAGGGAGGTACGCACCCGAAGCCAGGTCCGAGTTTCTGTGGCCATTAGTGTGGCGATGTGGAATGTCTACGTCGTGCTTGCACATGCCGTGTTCAACAATGAGTTGTTAAAGGTCTGTCAGTGTCTTCTTGTTGGTTGTTTCTGGTGATATCCATGTAGATCGGTCCCGGTACGTGGGCATAGCCCAGCTTGACTCGGCTGATGTGGTGTTTGCTTTCAGTCCATGAAGGGTGACAAGCTGCCTGAGCAGTACGACGAAATGGACGAACCGCACTTCTGTAAGTTGTGCAGCAGGCTTTTTGGGCTTATCATATGAAGTTAAAAAGGGTTGTCTATGACCACGATTGTTCTGAGCATGATGTTTATGATACTCATGTTCTGGACCGGAACTGTAAATGGTTCATGTTTCGACCTGGACCCTTTTGTAAGGGCCCTTGACCTCATGATAGGCCAAGCGCGAGCTTCCTTGTGACGAACTTGGGCTGTGGTGACGAGGCCGACTCCGGTCGGATGTCCCCACGCCAAGCGTGTGCTCGCTCCTGTCACCCGCGTGACGGGCAGCGCGGTGCTGATGACCTGCGGTCTCGCCGGACTGGCTGACTGGTATGATAGTCTTGCGAAGTATTTATCTTGGTGGCCACACGAATGTTTAAGCGATCATTTCAGCGTTGTGTGAACACAGTATGTGAAAGAGATCGGTGAGCCATCCATGCTGCTTTTGATATTATTTTTACGCCGTGGTACGGCGCGAATGTCAGTGCGCATATAAGACCCCCGTAGCTTTGTGGAAGAATGCAGTTTAATTGCTTCCGTGCTTTCCTCAGCCACGTCAGCGTTGGAGTCGTTGGGCGAGACCGTTCCTGCAAACGGAGCGACGGGTGGAATGATCTACACAACGTACGGCAATCAGCAGTTTCAGCTCAACTGAAACGCCATCTGCAAGCCAAGTGTGAAGTGTGGTTTGGATTGTTGACGCCAGGGGCGTCGCGGTTGCCAAACGGCCGAGCGGTGCACCACCATGATGCGCGCGCAGCCCCGTGCGGGTCGAACGCGCCGACATGGGCAGTGGTGTTCGCCAGCTTTTCCAAGGGCTTTCTAGTAACGAGGCCGGTCGACCCCCTGATCGAGACGCCGCGGCAGAACAGGCCGGTCGGCCGCCTGATCAAGGCGTCGCGGCAGAACAGGCCGGTTGACCCCCTGATCGAGACGTCGCGGCGAGTCCTGCGGCAGAACAGGCTGGTCGGCCGCCTGACCGGGACGCCGCGGCAGAACAGGCCGGTCGGCCTCCTGATCGAGATGTCGCGGCGAGTCCCGCGGCAGAGCATGCTGGTCGCCTTCCTGATTGAGACGCCGCGGCGAGTCCTGCGGCAGAACAGGCCGGTCGGCCTCCTGATCGAGACGCCGCTGCGAGTCCTGCGGCAGAGCAGGCCGGTCGGCTTCCTGACGAGACGCCGCGGCGGGTCCTGCGGCAGAGCAGGCCGGTCGACCATTTTTATCATCACTGTTGTGTCGTTAAGGACAGGCGGTATACGTTTGTGAAGGCAAAAACGGCGGCTGTCGCCGGGCACGTTGTTTGCGTCCCCTCGCCTGTGTGGTGTTCAGGCTATTAGATCATAGCCGTAAGAAAGAGTTTGGAGCACGTCAAAGGGATTCATTTCCCGAGAGGCATCGCTGCTCCCTTGTAATATGTGTTTCTATTGTTCCCAGTGTTCATTGCCGTGGTGACTTTATCGACTGGTCTTTTAGACCATTACTTAAAAGATGATCTTGCTTGTGCAAAGGATGTTTTGGTCACCAACCAATGTCACCTAAGTTAGGTTTTGTGAGGTTCTGTGCAGGCTGTTGGCAAATTTGGCGATGTTGCGTTACTCACCTCACAAAGCTTCGGGTTTTACTCTTCGGTTGACGGTAATTTGACAGACACCTGAAGTACCTGCGATCGATTTGAACATATTAAATAACAATAAATGGCATCTGTTTTTTGAGGTTGGTTTTTGCAATCTTATCTAGTCTTATACCGATAATTCCACTTAACTTGATGACACGGAATCCACGAGGACATCCGGCTGGCATGTTTAATGGATGGGGTGTTTTTAATGTTGGGTTTTTACACGCAAAATATCCCTTTGGCAAAACACTCGGAAGTGTCGGTTAAAGGAGGATCTCGAGCAGCTACGTTTAAAAGTGATTTCGGATTACGCGGTCCGTTTGCGCGACGCATGATTTTGCTCCGGGAGTAAGTTATTCGTTACGTTCGAACTGTAATAGCCTGGCAATCTTCTAGGTGTGTGCTGGAGGCAGTCACCTGAATCGTCATGCGCGTGGGTAAGCGGCGGACAAAACAGCTATATCGTCGTTTTCGTGTATTGCACGACCACAATGACAATCTTCTGGGTGTGTGCTGGAGGCAGCCAACTGAATCGTCATGCGCGTGGGTAAGCGGCGGACAAAACAGCTATATCGTCGTTTTCGTGTATTGCACGACCACATCGGTTAACACCGTGTCAGACTCGAAAAAACGGCCAAGCGACCCTGGAGAGATGAAGCCAATTCCAACGCCCTAGGTCACGTGTTCCCTCGAAAACATCACCGACAGACATAGAACACACCATTCCATCAGTCTTCTGAAATTGGTAGCATGAAGTCACCACCCTAACATTTAAATAGTACATCTTCAATACATGCTGAGCCCGGCTGGTATACATGATCGTTTGAAAAGTTGTAGGACGCAAAGTTGCGTCATTAATCTTAATTTAGGTTTCAGAACTAAGCCATGTTGTGCTGAAGCCGTATGAAGTTGTAACCAAGCTGTCCCAGTTTTCCTCTGCACTCCTTGTCATGTAGAGCAGACTAATTATGGTACAATAACGATCTGCGTAAAAATCGTCACTCCTCCGCGGCGACCTGTTTTAATGCTCAGATAAGGCGGTAGAAAAAGCCTTATTCATCGGATATATCTCCAGTCTTCTGGTTTTTCTCCAAGGGATAAGGCTTTAAGTGCTGTCTTATCTATGTGAGTAATGCTCCTCGCAAATGCACTTGACAACTTATGTTATTCTGTTTTGACGCAGCTGAGGTGTATTAGGTTGGAACGCAGTGGCGTTCAGTTAAAAAAAAAAAAACACCTCGTCATGCATGCAGTTGTTTGCTGGTCGGGGACAAATGGGCTGGGGTGAAAATTTGCTTGTACTCATTGAAAGCATGGCAATCACGGAATATATATACGTCTGCAAGCTATTGATTCGTAAAAAGTGCGTTTGGGGTACATCGGTGAGCGCAGTCAAACTTCCACGATCACGTTCGTTCTTAGCCCAACGTCGTTAGACTTACGTCTCAGAGGCGAGCAGGGGTACAGCCAGAGCCTTGGTAAGGAGGCGGAAGGGGGGAGGGGGGCACCGGATTGACGACAGGGCCCACATTGTCCCAGGGAGTCTCAATCGGTGCAAAAGGACCTCTGACTGACAGCTGAGGTCGCGGCACTCCGGGCTGAGTCCTTAATATGAGCTACAACCAGCCCTTTGTGTCCTTCGGGCATTTCAGCCTTCCAATCGGGCCTAAGCATCTTTCCCTTCATGGGAAATGGGCCCTCGGGCTCAGGCCGACACGGAGCCAACTGTTCGGTGCTGGTGGTCCCTGACCGATACAGCGGCCCCCTCCCCCCCCCCCCCCCATTGACTCATGGGCACCAATCGACGCAAAGGGTCCTCTGGCATTTGAGGGTCCGGCTACGCACGTGCCGAGGACCCTAGTACGAGCTCAGGCCAGCCCTTAGGGCCCTTTTGGTCCTCAGATCGAGCCCTTAATCATCGGTCCTGAGTGGCCTGAAGGGCCCCTTTGGGGAGGGGAGGCGGAGGAAACAGTACTCCTGTGCCTCCCTGCCTGCGCCACTAGAGGCGAGCATCCAGGAAGAAGTTCTTTGCAAGATCTGTGTCTGCGACTGTCGTTTTTATACGCACGGTAACAGTGAGCATGCAGTGAACACCCGGTGCGGATGGCAGTCGAATCGCGCTTCTGCACCATGAAGTTAATTTTTCGCTGATCTGATTACCTACAGAGATCTGAGACAAATCTTCAGCACGGCTCCAAGGCGACACTGCAGCAGTTTACGCTGGGGCAATGGTCCACCGTACACAAACACGCAAGCTCACACAGTATGATCGCTCAGCACATCTTCAGCGAACTGCGCTGTTACCGTGTCGCCGTCACCCAAGGTTTTTTGAGGCATGAGCCTAGTTTCGACATGGTTTGGGGTTAGTTCCCAAAAGTGCTGAACGTCCGCCATGGTAACTAAATGATGTACGTTGCAGGTTTTGTTTTAAAAATGGGTGGCCGTCCAGCAACGTCCTGGTGGTGCCACACTATCTAAACTCGCCCTAGCAAAGTGGTGCAGCGGAAGGTCCAGCAGAGCAGGCTGCTTCTTCTCGTTCTCTCGTCTATGGCACGCGCCCGAATGCTGATGCGTATTAAGTATATCCAGCTCATCTTCAAATGCTGGAGTGAACGCTCTTATCTTGACAGTAAAAGAGGGATAAATTCCGTGTCGTTCTCAATGAATGCTGTCCTAAAATGCTGCTCATTTCACCGATGTCAACAACCGCTCGAAATTCTGGACTGCGGACCGCTCGTGCAGCCTGCCGCCGGCCCACCTACCCCAGAGAACAAATAGCCGTGCCTGAAGGGTGTTACGTGCGATGCACGAGTTCCTAGACGACGCGAAACTCAGCTAAGCCCAGAGCGGGAGTAGTTTGTAAAAATCAGCTCGGTGGCTCTTACCGTCTCGGAGCGGCAGGCTGCACATGGGGAGCGACCATTTGATATGACTTATTTGTTATTTATCACAAGCAAATCGACGGACGACAATTTGCTTAGACGTGAGTGCACAGCCAACACGAGCGCATGAACATCTACATGGGAGACCAAGTCCACGCGGGTCTCCTTTGTTGGATTACTTGTTTGAATGACATTTACAATTTTTCACGGTCTCTAGAACGTATACTGTGTCGCGCGATAGCTCAAGATAACCATTAAGAGGTGCAGTGCTTAGGCTATGCTACGCTCGCAATACCGATTCATTTATGTTCACCATCTTGAAATTAAAAATACACCCGGCGCTGAGGATGCTAATTCATCCTGCAAACGCACGTGTCAGTTAGTGGGGGATAATGGAGGGATAATATGGTGGAAGAGTCTGATGCGTAGCACAGCCGCTGCTGGAGATGGAGAAGCGATGCAATGTTTTTATTGCATATATGTATACACACATGTATATATGTATATATATATATACATGTATATATATATGTGTGTGTGTGTGTGTGTGTGTGTGTGTGTGTATGTGTGTGTGTGTGTGTGTGTGTGTGTGTGTGTGTGTGTGTGTGTGTGTGTGTGTGTGTGTGTGTGGTGGTGCGTGCGTGCGTGCTGTGTGTGTGTGTGTGTGTGTGTGTGTGTGTGTGTGTGTGTGTGTGTGTGTGTGTGTGTGTGTGTGTGTGTGTGTGTGTGTGTGTGTGTGTGTGTGTGTGTGTGTGTGTGTGTGTGGTGTGTGTGTGTGTGTGTGTGTGTGTGTGTGTGTGTGTGTGTGTGTGTGTGTGTGTGTGTGTGTGTGTGTGTGTGTGTGTGTGTGTGTGTGTGTGTGTGTGTGTGTGTGTGCGCGCATATGCAACGGGATTAACTTAAATGCCTCTTGCAGTGCTGAAAAACTCGTGACCATGGGGACTGCTGAAAATGTCTAGTACTTGTATGATTTATGTCAATAGTTGTTTAGTACTCTTTCCCAGACCTCCTGGTATGCAGAGCCAGCTACTTCCAGAGCAAGAACTCACAGTGCCGACAGTCGGGTAGCTGAACGCCCATGCTACTTACTTTACGCAATCTATCTGATTACATTTAACCTGTACTGACAAATGTACAATGAACTCCACAAGAATAGACGCAACGTGAAAGGCTGAAACTTAACAAAAGTCTTGACATAAAAAGTGACGGGTACAATAGGGGTTGGTTACTTGAAATCGGGGCAAAATTTACATTTGCACATATTTTTCCAGATCTAAGTGGTAAATGCGTGCAATGCCATACAATGAGACACATTTGAGAACAGTTTCTGTATTTATGTATGTTTACAATAAGACCGATTCCGTCATTCCTTTAAACCTACAATGAGATCATCGGGGAATTCAATCCCGCCTAAATCATCTAAAACTGAGCCGCCGCATCAAGTCGTCAGCCGAGGCCCTCAGAGGGGGGACACATACACCGGTCCCATCTCTGATGCGGCAGGCCCTCTATCTAACCTGGGCATCTGGCACAGAATCGACCAGGGGCTGTCACTGGCGCAAAAGATCCCTTTCTGGCGCAGAGTCCAATAACTGGCACCGGGGCACCAATTCGGCTTCTTGATCCAGAGGGGAAACGGTGCGGAGGGCCTTTCATTAAGAACTGGGAGCTCTGACCGACACAGCCACTGCCTCACCGTGAGTGCGAACACTTGCATCGTACTTTCTCGGGTCTGCTTTCATCGTCGAGAGGATCCTCAGCAACGCAAGATACTTTTTTACGTTCAGGGTCCCTCGCTAGTCCCTGTTCAGCCGATGTGCCCTGGCCGACTTGGCGCCCATTGCTGACACGGGGTCCTCTGTAAGACACTGCGGTCTGTGAGCCCCTGATCAGCACAGGGGCCATCACTTCTAGAGGCCTAACCAATGCAAGAGGTTTTTGATGAACACGGTCAGGCCCTGGCCCTGTCCCTACTTTGGAAAGGGACCACAGGGCCCAGACCTGCGCAGAACCGGCTGTTAAGCGTTGGTGGTTTCGGCCAGCTGCCTGGCACAGAGACCCTCACTGTCCCAGGGGCCCCAGATCGGTGCAAGAAGTCCTCCGACTGCCTTTTGAGGACTCAGCCTTCTGACGGGTCCCTTCATATGCCCCCGGCCTGCCCTCCAGACTTTCCGATGGAATTATCAATCGTCGACCTCTCGGGCCCAAAGAACCCTCGGGGGCCCTCGGGACATAAGCACCTAAGGCTGACCACGTGCCCCTGTGTCACCGATGGTGCCGCGCCTGCATTATCGTAGAAATAAACATTTTGAGGCAGTTTTGTGCCCCCGGGAATTTGACGCCACTTGAAATTGAAGATTTTGGAGCTCCCTGTGGTGCTTCCCATGAATTGGACGCCTGTCGAAAATACAGGCCACGATGCCCGAAATGAAAACTTTCGGTGTGTTCGCGGGAGGGGCCGACCAAGGATTTCGTCAGGGTGGAAGGCACATAAGTTGTGTTGCCACTGATTTTGGTGCCTCTTGAAAATGAAGATGCTGAAGTCTTCATAGCGAGTATCCCAACTTTCTGTACTTTTCAGTTATTGCTACATTCCACTATACGATTTTATCAGCAATGCCAGTTTCTCAAACCCTCGGAATGACTCAGAATTTTGATTTGAAGTACCCGACCTTGCGGGAGAAATCCCATTTACCTCCTTGCTCAACACCATGGAAGTGTTGCATTAAATCTACTTTGATTTTTCCAGCGCGTGTGTTCTGTAGCGTTTGCAACACCCTAATGAGTCAAAATGTTTGTATAGTAAGTGCTACGAAAGTTTGGAACATTCTGTTAAGACATAAGCAAACATGAAGCTATTATCCCGCGAATTCAACGGAACGTTTTACTATGGCTTGATTCCTCCCTCTCCCATCCCTTTGGCGTTCACCGTGGCGGCTCTTTTCGAGGCGCACTTTAGCTTTGGGTATTAGAGCCTTAAATGATTCATGTGACACACTGGTTCAAACTTCAGCTTGCCAAGTTCTCGGTAACAGACCCTCTCTCGGTCCCGTAAGTTGGGCTCAAAGCTAGTGAAAATTGATATCCTTATTATGTCTTAACAGTGTCGTAGTGACACTGCCCAGTACCTTCATTAAACGTATCTAGTCCTGCAGTTTCACTAGAGTATGCTTTTGAAATATGCTTCAAAAGTGGAACACTCCATTAGAATGACCGCTTTGGATTTGGCGCCTCATGGAAACAAAGGCCATGGTTCCCCAAATGAAAACTTTCCGTAACCCTTCGCCAAGTGGGCCGATCTCGGATTTGGTAAATGAGAAGGTACGAGCACTGCGGTGTCTCCTGGAGTCTGTCGTCTTGAAGACGAACATTTTGAGGCCCTTTATTGCGCCACCTGGAATTGGGTGTCTGCAAAATATGGGTTATGACTCTTCGAAATGCACGTTTCTGATGCCGCTTCGAAGAACGGCGAAGAACGAGTCGATTATGAATTTTATCAGGGTGCAAGGCGCAGAAATTCCCGTTAAAATATAGTTCATGGTGCTCCCAAAATGAGGGTTTTGGCATTCCTTCACCACGAGATTATCGTGCCTCTTCATGGCACAAAGAGTGATCCAAAAAGGTGGGTGACGTGTTCTCCCCTTCTCCCCCCCCCCCCCCCCCCACCTGCATAGCATTGTTCGATTACAATCAGAAGAATGCGACGATCCGATTTTGGCAGTCCTGGAGTATTGTCATCGCACCATTCAATGAAACATTTTCTGTAGCTCCAGTGGTTGTTACTTCCGGGAAGAGCCAAGCGACTGCCCAGACTTGCTGCATCCCTTTAGGCTCCTTGAACGGCCTCAATACGGCACCATTTATGGACACGTGCGGTGTCCACGATGTCATGGAGCGACTGTGGCCCGGTAGCGGCTGGTTTTTCTCCAGCAAATAGTCCGTCTTTAAACCAGAACAAGACGAAAATTCATTTTATGACATTTTCAAAAGCTATCAGACGTCTATGAAGAAATGCTGCTATGAAGTCAACGTCCATCTGCTGTCCTGCGCTCATCCTCAACTGCTGAGCTCTTGAGGATGTGCACACCTGGACATATTGAATGTCGTCAATATGATCACTGTTTAGCACCGCATCCTCGTTTAATCAGCACCTCTATGTAAAATGAAGGTTGTTTACTCAAAATGTAAACTTTGAACTCATAATACCGAAAAACAAGGAGCTAAAAGCCATTATTTGTTACATAAAGCCCAAATCATAGCCACAGAATAAAGTGGACGAAATTCGTGAAGAAATGCAACTGGGAAATAAGATGGATAAGCTTCATGGGTATGGCCTTCTAATGAAAAACGCGAAGTTCCACCTCTGCTTTTAAAGTCATGCTGCACAGACTGTTCGCACTGGCATGCATAGTTAACAAAACAAACCCTGCCTTTCATAAAATAGAGTGCAAATGAACCTATGTAAAGTTAAAAAGACGGACTGTGCCGCGTAGGTTATCGGCTGGTTATAACCGCGCCTCCTTTTGCATGCCGGCGATCTCAAGCCAGTCATGCTGTCTCTGGTGACGGATTGTGGAGGCATCTGTCGCACATGTGGCGGACAACCCACCTATGCCCAGACGGCGAACGCTAGTTCTTCGAGCTTTCCCATGACTGTTTACTTTTTACGAGGTCTTCCGACTTCCTATACTTCAGTCCAGATTCCAGGAACACTTGATCGTATCCGAAGCTTCATGCAAGAAACCTGTGGAACACATCCGCTTTGTTTTGTTGTTTTTTATAAAAAGGAACCGCGGCGCACGTCCTGTTTCATGGAGCGCCAGCGACTGTACTGGCCATGCCAGCGGTCAGGGGCCTTTTCCCAACCGGGATTCGAATTCTGGCCCCAACGTGGGAGTTAACCGTGCTAACTACTCGGCCACCACGCCCCCAAACCAACCGCTTCGTGCCATAGTTGTATGGCTTTCACAGCCGTTGTTGTGTTGCATTCCATTATTACAAGTGTTCAGCCTTTCCCCTGTATTCCATGCCTCGTGCCTTATCCATACGCTGCATCATGAAATGAATGGCGCTTTAGCGCACTTGGCAACTCACGTGGCCAAGGCGGGTTTCTTGTAAATGACGTCATTTAATCGCTGCTTTTGCATAAATTCAGCAACCAGCTCGCGAGCCTGCGGCGTGGTCAACGTTGGCATCTTGGCATTTGACATCCACAATATTCCTGGGATTTTGTATTGTACTCCGTACGCAACACTTTCCTTCCACTCCAGATCAGAAGCAAGTTTATAATCTGTCCTGGAATGCACTGACGCTATGAAACCACAAAATGTCCCCAGATGCAACTAATTACCTGTCAAGTGTGTGTGCAGACTGATCCATTTCGATTCCTATAAAGGGTTTCAGAAAGTGGCATAGTTTCGTCTCCATTGTTGTTAATGACGCGGATGCCGGCAGCCGCACGCGAGCCTGAATTACTGTGTCCAGTCGGCGGCCGCGCCCCGCAGGCGTCCTCCGCCTCCCGTCTTCAAAGGCCCGACAATCAAAGCGGAGCCGGCGTGCCGGCGCAATCATCCGCCTTTCCGGCGTGTCTGCGGGAGGGGGGAGGGGGAGGAGCGGGTGAGGGGGCAGGTGGGCTGGCCCGGTCGCGGCGGCGGGCCCGGCCCGGCGGCGCGCCACTCCGCGGCGCCGCCCGGCTCCCAGCTCGGCTCAGCCGGCTGCCAGTGCGGTCTGGACGGTGGGCGGGGGAGGGTGCGCGCGTCTGGCTCGTGACACAGGGCGCGTGGCTGGTGCCGATCCAGAGTGGTGGCCCGAACACGTGACGAAGCACGCGGACGGACGTAGGCGATACAGGTGAGTGACGGAAGGGGAGTGGGGGGGGGGGGGGGGGGGGCGGGCTGGAAGGAAGGATATCTGAACTCCTCGAACGGCCAGCTCTTAAGTCAAACGGTGGTACCCGCTAGCGCTCTCATGTTATTCAGCCGCTGTTAGCACGATCAAGATGCGCAGGAGGTCACGGTCCCGCGTTCACACCAGTTGAACACGCGGTTGCTATGGTTGCCCGTGTAAGCTGTGTGGCAAACATGTGTGCGACAGTTGTCTGCATCTGAGAGGTGGTTGTTGGTACAGCATTGGCAGTGCGATGGGGCGGGGCTCGCAGTCCGCTCAGCTCACGATTCTGTGAGATCCGTTGAGGGGTCTGTGCCCAGGGGCTCAGCTCCACCCAACAGGTCAGTCGGCCTCGGTCAGCAACTCAGCGCAGACAGCCACCTCAAACTCCCATTTCTATCCTGTTTGAATTCCTTTGCCTGATGCCGATGAACACTGGAGCTATTCTTTACACATTTCGCTAAATGAGCATTGCGCGCATAGTTATTTTTCAGCTTAAGGGAAGCCATGCATCACCATACAAAAGTGTTCCACATTTATGTGGAGTTTTGAACTGAAATAGCCATCTTGAGGGCCTTTCGGTGTTGTTCACAATCCTGCCTGCATAATACCTAAGCCCCTCTAGTTTTTGAACTACACCCCCGCGAAAATGGGGAGCATTATATCTGGAGAGTATATCAAAGTCATCTTAACATTCATGACGTCATTATAATATCATTGCAATCCTGTCATTCCACTAGTCATACGGCGATCAATGCTAAGAAAAATAGAACTGTCGGGGCGCTCATTTCTGACGTTTTTTTTGGCGCGATTTCCAGATATAACGGTCATGAATTAGCTCTCACTCCATGTTGTGCAAGGTGCGATGACGTAATCAAACCATAACACATTGAGGGGCATATTTTCTAAGCAGAGAATTGTGCTGTCTACAGCAGTCTTTTCCACTTGAAACAAATGCCAACAGTTATGCACGAGTTTGTTTCATCATATGTGATGCGTGCTTCAATGTCTTCAAAGGTAAAACATTCCCTTTAAACTGGTGTTACGTGCCCAAATGCCTGACCATTTTGTGGCCTTTTACGTCGAAGGTGCGCGGAGTTTTAGCCAGAATAATAACAAATGCCACATTTTTGGATGCAGCTTGCTTCGAAGATGGACAGTGCACTACTGCCCAATGGAACTGTTGTTTTACAATGATCGGACGTGCTCAAAATATTTTTACGATGAACTCTAGAGAAAAACTCGGTATCAAATTAAATCACTAACGACTATTTTTACTGATCATGCAAACTTAACGCTCATACAATATCAATCAATGCAGTCAATGTAATGCAATATCGCGACCAATTTCCGGACTTAACACCAGTGTCGTCTGTTCGCTTAAAAGAGCATTACTTATGTAACATGATATTAGTCGGCACGTTGCATCAACGAGCACATTTTTAACCCTGTCATTACAGTTCAGGAGACTGTTGATGCAATTTCATGACATGAACCCAGCGAATATTTTATGGATAGAAGAATTTCGTTTTGTATTCCGTGCTCGCCGGAGGCACGAAGGCTTTCTGCCCAGTTACGACGCTAATCGCAATTTAAAATCGTATTTAAGGTCATGGAACCAATACTGGTTTGAGACTACTGAGGTTATGAAAATATTTCGGCTAGGGCGTTGAGAGGGCGCTTTTTACGATGTCAATCTCCTGTCACACTTTTACGATTATTGTGCATTACAACAGCTTTATATGGAACCGACAAATCAATCGACAAGTAACCAAGGAGATGTCTGGTCACGTATGGGTGCGCGGTAGAAACGCACAGCCTGCGAAAGGCTGTCCGATACTAGATCGATTTGCTCGAAATTAAAGTGAAATTGTCTGGCGCATTAGTGCCTTTCACATGTATGTCAACGGGTCTATTCTGAGAAAATTTGGCCAACGAAGAATACGGCTGGCCGTTGCGTCACATTTCAAATCACTTTAACACGTTTATTGTCGTCAGAAAATGGTCACTTTTTGTATCGCAAATATCTAATCCGCGTTTTTTTAAACGTTTGCGGGCGATAGACGTTAACTTAATAACTCAAGCAGGTGTCAAATATGCTGCACTACTGGCGAAGTTCTGTCCATGCCTAAGGTGCCTGGGCCACCCACGACAATATCCACAGGGGTGTACACAGGAATTTCTTGCCGGGTACGGCGACCACATAGTGTCTCCTGACTGAAATCTCACAGGGGCCTCATAAACCGCCGCGCCATTCGCGCGTGAACAATTGCAAAACACCGTGTGTGAGTGGCTGCAGCTCCGATAAAGCTAATTATTTATTATTTGTGCACCACGTGCCCGCTTATGATTTTTACGTTCGAAATTTTGGGAGGATGACACTACTGTTGGCTTCTTTACAATCGAAGTGACCGGAAGCGCCAATGGCTACCATTGACTTGTTGAGACTGTTAACGCGCCATTCACGGAATGCTGCTTGTCTGTGGCGTCAGCTAAGTGGAAAAAAACATCGAATTATTGAAAGCCAGAACGTTTCTCGCAGTATTAATTCCATCGAATTATCAGGCTTTCTGGTATCGACTAAGAACAAAGTCGTGTGATCAAAACCACATTTTTTCCATTCTGCCATGTGGCTTCATGTTAGGGCCAAAACTTCACACAGGCAACGCGGTGCACGGGCAGAACCCTGACAAAAAGGCGTCAAGTGAACCAGGAAGAAACTGTGCAAATTTATGCACATTGAAGAAGATTAAGAAGTTTGATATAGTCTCAGTCCTACCATTAACCAAGGGCCCGTTATAAATAAAACTCACCCGTGCAGTGTATTTGCACGGTCACGTGGATCATACTGAGCTTCACGAGCAGTGGTGTCAAGCTGAGGCGTTAAGGCTCTCTCAGTTAACAACGTCAGTGATGCGCTTCACTTCACATAGTCAAATACTCGAAGTTCAGACAGTTTAAGCGAAGACTGTAAACGCGGCAGCTCACACAGACGAATCCAAATTCGGTTACACTGCACATAACTGTATAACATATCAGATGAGATACATGAGAGCGTCTAAGATAATTTTAAGGCAATCAAAAACTGGTCATGCTTATTAAAACGCATCGCGTAAGCCACCAGTCCACTGCACCCGATTACCTAAATCTTTCACAAAACATGTTATTCATGGCACCATTCAACGGGCCCTAATGCAGGAAAGCGGCCGGTTATTTGAGCTGCGGCGGGCGCAGGTTGTTTGAGTTGCGGAGAAGGCCGTCAGTCACTACACCCCTGCCCGCGCTCTCAGCCCGCGGCGACGGCCGGTTCGTGGGGGCAGGAGAGTGCGCCGGCCGGCAGTGCCAGCGTCGGACTACCACGCGCGGCGCTCATCCGGCCCGCCTGCGCAGCTCCGCTACCGGCAAATGGACAGCGGTTACAGCTGCGCCGCTCGCCACGCGTATCCCTCGGAAGTGAGCTCGAACATTCTAGTCTGCCCGCTTTCGTGCGTCGTTTCAGATGCATTCTGGTCCCTGCACATCCTCTTTGTGTGACGAACGCTTTTAGTTTTACCTAAGTCCAGGTAATGCCTTGCAGGCTTAGGCCTCCAAACCAGCGGTGGCAGTATATCGGTGAAGTTTAACGTGGAAATGCCTTGAACGCCTATCGGAATTGTTACCATATGGCGTCAGAAGCACCGCCCGCCGGCCGCGCCCCGCGCACCAGAAGCCCCGCCCGCCGGCCTCACCCCACGCGCCACGAGCTCCGCTCGCCGGTCGCGCCCCGCGGACCAGAAGCTCTGTTCGCCGGCGGCACCCCACGCGCCACGAGCTCCGCTCGCCGGTTGCGCCCCGGGCACTGGGAGCTCCGCTCGCCGGCAGCCGCGCCGCCGCGGCTGCTGCGGTGTGCGGTCGGCGATAGGGCGCTTCCTCGTCGTCCAGCCGGTGCCAGCCAGTCGCGCGCCGCCCGGCCGGCGCCGGCAGCCCGCCCAAAAAGCGCCGGCCCGACCGCGGGGTCGGCGGCAGCTGAGATAAACTCTGCGCCCCCGCCGCTCTGTATACGTTTGACGGCGGCTGCGCTCGGGTGGACGCCGCCGTGGGTGTCCGCCGCTCCCAGGCCCCCGCGGTGCCGACAAAGGTTGAGGTAGGTCGCGCGTGGGGCAGCCTCTACGGGATCGTCGCCAGAGTTCGAGAGTGACGCAGAGGCAGTGACGGGCGTCAAGTGAGTAGTCGGCTCGGAATGCGAGGAAGCAACGGAGCGGATCCCGAACGCGGTTCAGAGGCACAGAATGGGCGTAAAGGACAGCGGGCAGAGGTTTCGCGTTTCTGGCGGACCGGTGTGACTATCCAACCCCATGCGCCGCCGCACCTGCTGACCTGTGACCTGAGTCCGCCTGTTCCGCAGTGAGCGAAGACCCAGGCGCGATGGTGGCGATGTGGACCTGACCCCGCAGCCATGACCTGCTCTACACTGGAACTCATCAGCCCCCGGGCGCACTACGCTACTCAGGTAACTGCGACTGCGGGCCGTCAGCAGGCGCGTCTCGCCTCGGGCTGTCTGCCAGACTCGCGGCGAGCTCAGGACTGCGAAGCCGGGGCAGTCGTGCGGTCACTCCTCAGAACGTGCAGCGGTGCCTTGTCTGACATCGCCCTCTACGCCCGGTCCGACAACGTCGGCAAATGGCCGCCGGTCTGCGGTCTGGAGTGACGTGTGACGGCTTCCGAATTCAGCCGCGTCGCATTGTGATATGCTATTGAATTTTGTCTTTTGATGGAGACATCGTCAGTTGCAAGTCTTTGAAACGTTTGCTGGCTAAAACCGTACAGAATGTAAAGTTGCTTCACATAACGGTCATGTATGTAGTAACGTTAGCCGACCAGAAGGGAAAAAATCCCGACCTTGTGATGGGTGCATTTTGTGCATGGAAATTGTCCGGTCACCAGAATCCGACAACAATGCCGATTCGAAGACTTGCTTAGCTGTTCGTCAATGAAGTTGGAATTAATCACAAGTCGGCAGGTGCTCCAAATATAACGTAAATAATTTGGTAGAAACGCGCCGTCGGCCAATTCTCCCATCACCGTTTCTCACAAAATTCATAAGCATGTGTGACGTTAACAAAAACTTAGCTGCTGATTAATATTAAAAGCATCCAGCCAGTGGCGACCCAGCGCTATCGCTCTGCCGCTGCGCCTGGGTCAGGTCACGGTCACGTCACGTGACAGTTGACGCAGGGGTCTACTTTGGGGACTCACTCAGCTTGTTTCACTTTCGGACACCTAAATGCTTTCTGTAAATAAAGACGTAAAGATGTCCCAGTTTAGAAGCACGGAGTATATCTGCTGACCTAGTTTTCCAGTATGGAACCACTTAAAGTGATTTAGATCTTACCATTATATAAATGCCACTTGATGCGATTAAGATCGTCTCTTTGTGCCTACCGGTTTCACTTAAATGACTGATGATACGAGTGTCTGGACATTTACATATGTGCCATCATTTCCCAGTCAGTTCCCACGGCCTCCATTCGATTCGAGTAGTCCAAATGTGGTGTTCAAGCCCCTCCGGTCAGAAACACGCTCATTGTTTTGTTCCTGTTCTGGTTCGGCTTTGCTGGTGCTGGACCCGGATTGGGTGCCCACTGGATCCCGGGCATGGCCTGACTCGTGTCCCCCCGGCGGCAGGTTCTGGCCACGCTGGCCATCTCGATGGTCCCGCCGTGTGGCCCTGATATCCGTCTTCTTGTGCGGCAGGTTCTGGCCACACTGGCCGTCTCGATGGGCCCGCTGGCGGTCGGGCTGGGCAAGGGCTACAGTTCGCCGGCGCTGGCCTCGCTGGCCGGGCCGGCGTCGCTGGGCGGCCTGGCCATCTCGCCGGAGGAGGGCTCCTGGGTGGCCAGCCTGTCGCTTGGGCGCG